ACATTGAAGTTTATGTCATATAATTGGATATTGACCTTTTTGTGTGGGGTCTGTTTTTTTTTACATTTGCTTTTAGTAATTTGATCAGTTTACCATCATGTTACCCTGTAATGAGAGAAAGGTTGACTCAGACTAACAAAACGATGGTCCGATCATCAAAAAAGATCAAAATCTCTGGAGCAGAAACTGCTGAAACTGCTGACTCTTGCCTGATATTTAACTGCAAAAGTGCAAGGTAAACCCATACCCATGTTCCTCTCTTTGAACTCTTATTTTAACAAAAGCTTTATTGTTTTGAATGTGTTGGTTTTCTTTGCACCCAAGAGCTCTTTGGTTTTTGCATTTTTCCTCAGCATGGGTATTTGCATGACCCTTTTTTGTATGTAACCTGTGTGAGCTGTTTATCATGGACCCGAATGCAAATAACTGTAGGGAGGAGTACACTCATTAAGTGAGTATTAGTTCAGAGCTCCACAAACACAGAGAATTCTGGAAGAGAATCCAAAAAAACCCCCAGAAAAAAACAAGAAATCACCAGGAAATACACATAGTCAGGGTTATGTCACAAAGCTCCAAAGGACGACAAAACAAAAGAATAACTGGAGACTAAGACAACACACATCCATGCACCCTGTATGTGCCCGTAGGTCAAATTGGTTCAAAAGTTTGCTGGAACAGGGAAGGCAGTGACAGATTTCACAAGTGATGAGAGAAAAGATAAGTAGCGTCGTACATGTTTTCATTTACAAAAAAAAATAACATACAAGAAAACATTTCATCTTTTGAGCAGCTTTACATATACTGATGTGAACCAACAGTAAAACAGATAAAATGGTCGTCTCCGATGTGGTTTTAGTATCAGAGTTACAATTAGGTTGTGGTTAGGTTGTGCCTAAGGGTTAGGGTTAGGCATTCATATTTGATTGTTAGATGTCCTCACTAAGATATAAAAAGAAGTGTGTGTGTGTGTGTATTATTTATTTACTTATATGAAGCAGCATTCAATTATAAATAACAAAAAATGAAAATATTCCTCTAAATATGTTCACAAATGATACATTTATATTCCTGTCAACTGACATTTTGAACTGCAAAAGCATGAGATAAACCCTTGTCAGATCTCTCTCTAAACAACACAATACATCTTTATTTAATAAAAGATTTTATTTTTTATACAGGAAGGAGAAAAATAAGTTGGAATGATTTTTTGTTATTATTGGTTTTGTTTTTGCTTGGAAGCTGCTTATTGTTGACCCAGATGAAAAAACACAGGAGGCTGGAGTAAACTCAAAGCAATCATTTATGCTGATTAGTAAAAAAAAATTCCAGAACACGGGGAAATCAGCAAGGACGCCCCCGTAAAAAAAAATTAATAATAATAAGAATTAAAAAATTACATAAATACATGAGAATGAGGGGATACGATAACAAGTGCACAGCTGGAGATAATAGACCTAATGAGATGGGAGAACTCAACAGAAGAGCACTGCGCCTTCTCGCAGGATCTTTTTCTGGGCAATTGTGCAACCACTACAATATGGCGCATTTGTAAAGACTAATAAACATAATAATATTTAAATGTAAAAAAGAAGTAAAGAAAGAAAAGATAACTAACATCTTTTAACTTACATTTTCTTTGTGAATTATAACTATAAACTATATTATCATCATTAGTATTAGGATTAGTATTATGAAATATACTACTTATTCCTTCTTTGTTAACTCGTGATTTTTGGACAGGCTGCTTTCAGCATTGGCAGGGTCGGTGGTTGGCTAGGTTTATTCTGCAAAGCTAATTGATTTGGTTTTGGAAATTTAAGATCTACTTGTATGCATCTGATGTCTGAAGTATGGCATGCAATAGGGGATGGTAACAGTTAAAGATGATTATAATGATGATTTAAACAAGATTAAAAACTATGGAGATTAGACTATAATTTATGGTAAAATATACGTATATCACTTAATACTGGGTACTTTGTTTTGAATGTTTACCTGATTCCATGTCAACAAACATTGCATTCTATACAAACATGTTGTTTTGCAGCTCTGGGTGAGGACCAGCTTTAATCAGTACACAGCTGATGTGAGAAAAGATGTCATCATTAAACCACCAAATACCTACAGCTTGCTGTGACAAACACAGAGTACCACAGCACCTTCATCACTGAGCAGTTTCTGCAGTGATATCTGATAACTCAGGCAGCTTTTGGAGAATTCTGAACTTCTCCATTAAATATTTAGCACTTTTTTGGCAAAGAGTGAACAAATGATTAGAAGTAAAGGCATACATGAGCGGATTTACGGCACTGTTTACAAATGTTACAGAGGCAAAAGCATTCCAGGTGTCCTCACTAAACTTCATCACGGGATTGTTATGTAGGGAAACAGCTGCTATCTCCACAATATTCATGACACGATATGGCACCCACAGGACAAAAACAGTCACAACGATGCTGGTAACTTGTTTTATCAGTTTTAATCTTTTAACTTTATGCATCAAGCAAAATTTTAATTATATGCAACATTCTCTGAGTTGAATAAATTAGTTTAACATTTAAACCTATTTTCTGCACATTCCAGCACATAAAATAAAATGTTTTTTGTGTTTACACTCACTCTTTCAAATAGATGCAAGTAAAACACAGCAGAACATAAATAAAGTCAAAGACTCAGTGGCCCTGTTGCTCTATTTTCACCTGTAAAGCAGGACTGCGGTAGGCGGAGGTTTACCCTGGTGCAGGTGTGCCGCGGTCAGTTGAAGAATCCGCGACTTTCTGTGAGTTTCCCATTACGTCGTTGCGCACTCGGTACTTGCTTGGAAGTTTAGGGTTTTTTTCACTGTAAAAAGAAGTTTTCTTCCCATGCACAATGGACACTAATGTTTTTGTCACTTTTTATGGAATCAAACTCAAAGTAAGGTCAGTACTTCCACACTTTAAACGCTGCACGCTCCTACTCTCTCCCACAATCGATATGTGATCCATTGTTGATCTGCACACAGTTGTTGTCACTAACGGCGCACTGTCGTGAGACATTCTCGCAATTAAATCAAGGTTTTAGTAACGCAGTAACGCAGTGTTCCTACGGGAAAGTAACGGTAATCTAATTACCGTTTTTGCAATAGTAATCCCTTACTTTACTCGTTACTCGAAAAAAGTAATCAGATTACAGTAACGCGTTACAAGTAACGCGTTACTGCCCATCTCTGCTCATGACAGGACACACTTAAAAAGGCCAATTAACATGAATTTGACGTTCACAGTTTAACTGCAAAAGCAGCAGATAACCCCATACTAAAGTTGTTATATGCCAGATTGGGATGTAGATGAGTACCTGCATACAGCCTGCCCTTGCATTTTCCCCCCCGCTTTGAGCTCAAATGATGGAACAAGTCGGGAAGATAAGCAGGTTTCCAAGGAATCAATGAGACATCCACAGGAAGAACCCCGGCACACTCTGCAGGAGTTCACCACAATATCTTATCTCAGAATCCTGCTTTATTAAAAAAGTGTTATCTTCATTTTAGATGTTAAAAAGTATTTGCAGCTCCCAGGTTGCTGACCCCTGCCTTAGTCCAATTTGGGGGAATTCAGATCTTTTCCATTACACATTTAGCATTTTTTGGCAAAGAGTGAAAAAACGATTAACCCTCTCAGGCTCAAATTAAACTTTTTGTTGCTAATGCACAACCAAGTCCTGCAGTGGTACTTCTGAGTAAAAAAAACTAAAAATATGTATGTGGGGTAATCAGGTTGTTAGTTTTCAACTATTGCAAATTGGCAACGCCTGCCTTGAGAGGGTTAAAAGTAAAGGCATACAGGAGTGGATTCACGGCACTGTTTACAAATGGTACAGAGGCAAAAGTGCCCCAGTTGTCCTCACAAAACCTCAGCAGGGGCTTGTTATTTAGGGAAACAGCTGCTATCTCCACAATATTCATGGCATAATATGGCACACGTAGAACAAAAACAGTCACAACAATGCTGGTAATCAGTCTGGTGGTCTGTGGATTGTTGAAAAAGGCTGCCTGATTCACCTTTCTGTAGAGACTGATGTATGAAAAAGCTATGACAAAAAATGCCACAAATCCTATCAGGAATCCTGTGAACACCACCGCAATCCTCCGGCCCTCAGAGGAGTAGTGAGCTTTGCAGCGTATCCAGTGCTGATCGTCGTCCAGGTTTCGAACCACTAAAGAGGGATGGACAGGATCGTTGAAACCAGCCACAGTGGAACCAGCAGCTGCCATGCTTCAACTTCATGTAACCTCCTCTCAAAGTGCACCAGCTGAAGGTAACGCTGGATGCTCATTGCAGCCACCGTGAAACAGCTGCCTCTAGCGCTGCAGTAAATAAGGTGTTTTACCCGACACAGTATGTACCAGCATATAGAGGAAGTGGCTCACATCCAGAAATCCTACTAGTGGCTGGACAAAGATCAAGTGAAAGACAGCAAAGAGGCTCTAATCATGGCAGCACAGGAACAAGCTCTAAGTACAAGATCCATAGAGGCTGGGGTCTACCACACCAGGCAGTACCCCAGATGGGTGAGAAGGGATTTTTTTTTTTTTTGGAATGTATACATATGCAAAACATGCAATGTTCACAAGTGCTCAATATGTCCCCCTGCGACAGATAGCTAACAATCATATTAGATTCATTATATGAATCTAATAATATGATAGCACAACTTACATTTGCTTTTGCAAGCATGACTAGAGTCACTACAACCTCTGTTGTTGTTGTTGTTGTGCAATTTCACATTTAGATTTTCAAGGCCACTGCTACCTACCAGCAACCATGTGAAACTCATGAATCCCCTCTTTCTAACAATATGTGCTTCAATTGTTAATTGTGAATATCCACCTTTTTTTTTTTTTTTTAGTTTCCTTTTTCATTATTTTGGGTAGTGTTCATGTCACAAACACTTTTTTTGTTGTTAAATATAAATAGTGCTGATAGAAACCAAAGCAGGCATAAGTGATGAACTGAGGTCACTGAGATCAACAGATGTGTCTTTTATTGCATCTCATTTGGAGTCACATGCAGGTGGGGTTGAGGGAGGGGGGGTGATGCCATCCATGTAACAAAAAACAAAAGAAAGGAATCCTTAATTTTTGATATTCATCCACATTCTTCTTGTTTTTAGGTGCCATTTTTATTTTTCCTTCAACACTTTGTTAATGCCACAATGGATTAAGATACAGTCACTTTTTGAAATAATACACAGAACATCCAGCGTATACTCGAGTGCTTTACAGTGAGCCCGTTAGCAGCACATGAACAAATGTACCAACTGCTGCTCTATCACAAATCACCCAAAAACAACTGAGGCCAATCACAAACACTTCCTCGTGTCTTTGTTTCCACCTTAACTTGGACTCATCGTATGTAGAGATAAAACAAGGAATGCAGCTCTTTCAGAGTGCCTCCCAGATTCACCTGTTTCACGTCATGATGCAGTACCACTCCACACCAGCAAAGGGCGACACAGCACACACTCTGAGCAACATTTCCACTCAATATTTGTTACAGCTTCAGAGGTATGTACAAAGTGGGAAACTTTTTAGTCTACTTGCATTTTTATCCAACCATATAATTTAATGTAACTAAAAATATATGATACACTTTTTCACTTAAAATAAAGAAAATATGTATAATCTGTCATTTAAAATAGTCTAAAATGCATATGTCAATTTTTGCATGTTTCATACAATCCCTAAAAAAAGATAATGTGAAAATGAAACGAAACACTGTTTAATGTCTTTAGTGATAAGCCCAGATTTGCAGTGCAAGTGGTGTTTAAGTACATTTTGATAAGGAGCTTTTGTCCAAAAAAACTTGAAGTAGACAGGTAGGATGGATGGCCATCAGATATATATGGGTACAACCAAGTCTTTAATGACAATAAACAGTATTAGTCTGAACAACAGGGATAGAGGAGTGGGAGTTGGCCAGTGAAGTTACACCGAACACAGTCCACATTGAACAACACAGTCCTCGTCTGGGAGATGCGCAAAGAAACCAACATATATCCACCATTCCAAGTCAGCTGATATGCCAAAATCCAGAATGAATCTAAATACACATTTACTGATTTTTTTTGTTAATTTTTCTGTAGTATATTAAGTAAATGTTAACACTGAATAACACACACACCCACACACACATAAACGGAATTCTCTTTTTCTGTATCTAGGGTTCACATTCACAGTTGTGCTACAACATTAGATAAAGAGGGCAGGTTGCTTTCAGGGGTCGTGGGGGGGCAAAGATCGAAGAGTTGATGGCTGGCTGAAGAGGCTGAGAAAAAGGGGGGGGGGGGGGGGTGCAGACATCCACTTCCACAGAGCTCCAGACACGATGACAAACCTACACAGAGAAAGAACATGGTCTTGTTTTAGCTTTCTGTCAGAGGAATGTGTTAGCAGACACAACATATTGCATTATTATTATTAAACAGCATGAAACTGGCATGTGATATCTGATTTAACTGTCACAAGATGTTTTCCCTAACCCTAATGTCACACATTTGGTTTCTTTACCTTATCGGTACTGTTGTGGATCCCAATCCAAAGCAGCTTTTAGCACATTTTGTTTTGTGAATGCTGATCACTTAAAATTTGTGAAGTCTACTTTCAGAAAAAATCTTGATATTTGCCAGTGACTTCTGTCTGTTTACAGAAAAAAAAAAACCTCAGAAAAACCACCCTTAATTTTATCTTCAGGTCTGGGAACCACTTTTCCAGCATCAAATTGAACTTGCATGTGGTTATTGTTTAAGGCTCAAATTCTTCTCCTTATGCTTTGCTATTTCATGACATATGAGATATTTTAGTTTAGCAATTGCACAACAGGTTTACAACAAGCAACAAGCATGTCTACATCTTAAGCAGAATAACTGATGGTAGTAGTGGTGTAGATTACTGTTATGCTGAAACCCCAGCCTGTTCTACAGAGAAAAACTATACGAATGTTATCCGTAATGAGAGGAATCTGCAGTTTCAGCATACTATCAGTAAAGATGTGTACCTTGGGGGTTTCTGGATCAGTCAGTCTACATGAAGTCCTTAATATTGAGGTCATCCAGAGCGTTCCTGGGTGGTGGAGGCTTCCTGGGGCTCTGGGCGATTCCAGGAGACATCTGTAAAACACCTTATTTTAGCACTCATATTCCTTCTTTTGTCATTGTAACCTGTGCAAATAATAATATTTTCCATTGTAAAAAAAAAAAAATCAAGTGTGTTACCGGTGCTCCTGGGGTCACCCCAGCGGCTGGGAAGCCTGGTCTCGCCATTGGCATCATGGGAGCTCCAGCAACTGGTGCCTGATGGAATGGAAAAGAGTCAATAAAACTAGATGTCTGTTATTTTATGGGTGTGTGAGGGCCACCCAAAGGGGGTGATTGTCCATTAGTTATCCAGTAATGTCCTGCCTGGGCATTACTAGACTGGACTGGAGGTCTTACCATGGTGAAGCTAGGGTGAATCCCCATAAAAGGACTGACACCCATGGGTATGGTCTAAAGGTGTGGACGAGAGGGGATGGAGAGGAGGAGGTGGGATGTTACTATACTACATTTCAGATGAAAATATGGCAAAATGAACACAGGAAACAAAAATTTAAGGTAAAAAAAAAAGGACAGACACACCGAATGCTGGACAAAACAAACTGGCACACAAGAAACGAGGACACGCCACAACAGAAAGCCCAACTTCATCTTCAGTTTTTGTTGTCTATTTGCATATGAACAGGGGTTCAGAGAGCAGTGAAGCTTGTTTCATGTAGCCTTCAGATGGAAGCGTCAAACCAACTGCAATGTCCAGGTTTGCCTCAACTCAATCAGGTTTCAAAGAAAACTCAAAAATTAATAGCTGTTTCCAAGCAACAGCTTCTTAATGCAGTACTATCACTTCCCCCTTCATCACTCTCCAGTAAATATTCCAGAAACACACATTAGGCTGAATTAAATTTATGCCCTGCTTCCTAGCTTTATGGTACACCTGGAACCTGGAGAGCTGGGCCATATTGAAAAGAAAGAGGACAAATCTCCAAAACATAAGCATTTGTTATAAGTTTTTTTTTTCCTGTTTCTTTTCCATATGGTGATGAAGGCGACACTTGTGACTGCTGCTACAGGTTTGCCCTATCTGTCGCTGGCATGCGGCTCCACTCCATGCTTTAAGACACAGACAACATTTACCATCGGAGCACCCCAACTTGGGGGAGCTACCTGAGGGGCCGCTGGAGTTCCCATTGTGAGATCTTGGAAGGAAAGAAAGAGAGAAAAAAGGTACTGCAAAAAAATCTGTCGCATCATTTGTAACTTGTAATTTACTGCAGTGATTTCTAAGTTACAAGACAGAAAGTCAGTTAAAGTAGATGTTTGCCATTTTAGTAGATGAGTTTCTTTGCTTTCTTTTAACAGAGGTGGAAAGATTAATAAGTTGGCTTATCTTTAACACAAGCACTCTTAAAGTTCACAAGAATGATTTACTTTCATAAATAATTTTAAGTGTAAAGAAACATATTTGTGGTTTATAGGGGAGTTAGAGCTACTGCTGCTATTTTTACTTGACTTTCTTTTTATTGTGAACTAAGTGTCAGATGGAGTCACACACTCAAAAAATAACTCTTTGCCCTCATAAACTTTAAGCAACTCACTCTGTGAGTTTGGTGCTATCAGAGGTTTCTTCCTTTTAAAAGGGAGTTTTTCCTTCCCACTGTCACCAAGCACTTGCTCATAGGTGGTCATCTGATGATTGGTGCTTTCTCTGTAATTTTATAGAGTCTTTACCATACAAAATAAAACAACTTGAGGTGATTGTTGATGTGATTTGGTCCTATAGAAATATAACTGATTTGAACTGAATATTGAATAAATGTAATGATTGTACGCCACTCAAATAAAATTCATTTCACCAAATTCCCAAATGTTTTACATTGTAACAAAATTATAAGTATTCAAATTACTTAGTTAGCATTTTGGGCATGTATACCATAAATAGGTTTGGCTCTGTTAAATATAAAAGAAAATGTGACTGCCAGCACATCTAACGTTCCCAAGACTGCTTTTCTCTTTTGTTTAATATGTAAAGAAGTAACTCTCAAGCCTTTCACAATTTATTTAGAATGAATAAATAAAGCAAACCTTACAATTTAAGAATCTCTGCTGGAGAACAAACAAGCATATTTCTCAAAATGTTAATTTACTGCATTACATAGTCCAGAAATCTAGAAATCTAAAACTCTACTTACTACTTGCCATGTTAGCCATAGATGTGTCAACATCCCCAGCCTGGGGAGTCACTGTGGGCTTCATTACATCCCCTAGGCCATCAAATACTACAGCAGGGAGGAGGTGCAACAGGGAAGGGAGAAGATGGACAGGGGACGGAGATATTAGTATCCTTCACTACAAGCAATTCTCACACTCTACTACAACTCAGGAGCAGGCCTTCTTATTACTTGGGATATTACCATGACAACCAACAGATGTCTCCATGACAACAGCGAAAAGAGAGCATTGAAATGTAACCTACTGAGGAAGAGTTGGTTCATTTAAAATACGACATATGGTTTCTTTTTGGAAAATACTAAATCTTAGTGAATTTCAATCATGTGAAATAGAATATAACATAAAACCATCGAATATATGACTCAGGAGACATCTGTTATGATCAATTGCAGTAAGATAAAGAACTTTAAAAGTACATATATATGTGGGACAGATATAAACCTGAGCTTGCTTCTGCATAGCATCAAACATGATGTCAAGAATGCGACCGTTAATGTAGTTTTCCCATGAGTTTGTGACTGCTGCAGAAACTGGCATGAGGGCAGAAGCACTGAAGCTAGAATGAAGCTGGGTTAAATGCTAAAGAAGCACTGAATAATAACTGCTACTTCACACAGTCCTCATAACCGTCAAGCATCTGGTGTTTCAGGAGAAAGTGCAGCTGAGCTTGCCTTGCACCACCGCAATGCAGTGCACTGTGGGAAATTAGCGTGTTAAAGAGCAAGGGGACTCACCCAATCAAATGGCAGGAAGCAAGAAATGAGCCAGCCCAAGAGCCAGATGGAGAAAGAGAGCGAGGGAGAGAGAAAGAGAGGAGAGTAAAAAAAAAAAGCACAGATGCCAAAGAGAGAGGGGGGAAAATGCAATGAGGTTTCAATAGAGTGTTTTTTTTCTAAGGAGGTTATTGTATGGTTGATAGAAAGGAAGGAAAAGAGAAAGAGTTAAGCCTTAAAGCAGAAGTATTGCAGACCATTAGTTATATAATATGAGACCAGCAGCACAAAAGGAGAGGACCAGGAACCACATAAGCAGGGATCAAGTATTGAAAGGTGAGAAAGATTGGAGGATTTTCCGAAGAATATAAGTCGTCATAAGCAAAATGTGATGCTGTTATCATGAAACTGAAGCAAAAACCAAGCCAGCAGAAACATGCACCATTTTGTGTGGCACAAACAATGTTGATGTATGTTGCTGTTAAAAGTTAATAAATACAATCCAAAGAGAAGCTGCTGACAGCAAACCATTTCATTAACCATTACCAAAGTTAATAGAAACAGTAAGTGATACATCCACTGACACGAAACAGCTAGTCTGGCAAGCAAACCGATTTTAAGATTATCAAAGAAAGTGTTAGTAAAATATTGTAAAGTGATATTATGGTATTAGCAAGACAACAACAAGGAATCATGAGTGTTATTACAAGATGAACAGCTGTAGCCATGGATGAATGATCAGGTTAGGGCCTCTGAGCTAAGCAGAAACCCCAACCTATTCTTTTTTGGACAGGGCATCCAGGGCCCAAAAGACAGGAGAAGCAAGGTCGATAGATCTATTAACACATAAAAGTTCCACAATATGTTTAAGTCATGTTAACTCATCAACCAAAGCCTTACTGTATTCAAACAATATATTATTACTAATATTATGAATCAAATCCTTTTGTGCTGTCTGTCATTTGCAGAACATGCATGTGAACCTGTTGATGTCAAGTATGCAACTGTTTTTGTTTTTGGCAAGTGTCAGAAAAAAAACAGAGTAGCTCCTCTGTTTAGCAAGCCAAAGCAAAAAAAAAAGTGGTCCTTAAAAGAGGAAGGAGAGTAGAGGGGAGGACTTTGGACTTAAGGAACTTGAGCAGCACTGACTTTGCTGAGAGCATGGTCTGAAAGGTGAAGTTCTGATGAGTGAGTAGTTTGTTACCGCATATATATTAATAATATAGACTCATATTTGGAGCGCATGAGTCCATCATTGAAATAATTGTTGAGTGGGGAATTCTATAAATGAGCGTGCTTGTTCGGTACCATGACGCCATCCAGTCAGTCTGTGAGGACCTCTGGTTAATGTTCTCTCTTTTATTCCACGCTTACAGACTTTACAAAACAATACCATCAGTCTATTTCCACTTTAAACTCGACAAAAACAAACCTTAATACAGAGGCTTTAGCTCAGGAGCCTCCAGACCTGTGCTCATAATATCTGTTATGAAATCCATCCATGACCACAATACATGCAGTGAGAGGGAACTATTTCATACAAACATGATGATATAACCTTCACTGATCACATTCAGGTTGGCACTTCCACATCTGAGGATTTACCTGACATCAGTTCAGCACCGGGGGCAACAGGAGCAGGGGCAGCAGCAGCAGCTGGGGCATCTCCTCCTGTAGGCTCTGGCAGGTCAACCAAAAAACATAAACACAGTCCACCATTCATTCCATGACAGGGTCGCAGTGGGTCGAGCCATTTCCATCGCAGCATTAAGGCAAAGAAGGGGAACAATCAGCCTTCAGCTTCACACTATTAATGTCAGACAAAATGCTTAGAGTTAGAAAAGAGGGCTTGAAAGCATGAGCGCAGGATTTTCGATTTCAGAAAATGAAAACATCACACACACATACTGCTTATAAAAATGGCCTTTTCACATGTAACACTCAGATATACACAGCAAGGAATTTTAGTTGTTAGATTTGGGCTCATAATCCTATTTTTCTAGAGGATAAATGAGAGCAAGTATAATTGTGCTGAAGTAGTGTAGCCACTTTTAGTTTAACAGAAAGAAAATCTTGAGCCAGAGTCATTATTAGCAGTTGATAAATACTTTGACTCATCTCAGCTATCTGTGTGCGAATCTCCAATAATGTATCCACCCACATGAATAACAAAAACAAAATATACAGCAGCAACAATCGCAATAGCTATGATCATAAAGGAGAAAACCTGATGGTTTCAAAATCACTTGTTTCATTTTATGTCCTTCGCTTCCTCAGCGTGAACAAGAGAGGCAGAGTGAGGGGAGGCGGTCATGTGAGTTACCCACCACCAAACAGATTCATGATGGCTCCTGTGTCAATTTTGGATGGGGGTGCTGAGGAGAGGATGGGGGCAGAGGAGCTGAACACATCCGCTGGAGGAGGCAAGGTGGAGATTATGTTTTTAGACCCCAAACACGCACAAATACACACTAAACACACACACACACAGAAACTATTCATTATAATGCACAGTGCGCTTTTATCAAGTTCAGTTTCAGTGCACGCAGTACATGCCGGAATAAGAAAAGAGGTAAGTGTCATTCACTAAATGCTTCAGACAGCTCAGTGGCTTTCAGCTGACCCATAACAGAGCAATCTCATTTCCTTCTTTTCTTCCCTGATCAAAGCCAAGGACAAAGCTGAAAAACACAAACAGCAAGACAGGATATGAGAGTAAGAGCACGCGCAAGATGGCAGATTGAGTGCAAAAGGGTACCTGCTGAAAACAAGTCAGCACTGGGAGCGAGGTCTGTTTTGGAGAAGCTCGTGTCTGGCATGGAGTCAAAGATATCTACAAATACATGCGCACCCAAGACAGGAATATTAAAAAGCTCAAACTCTTTCAACTGGAGAGGCAAAGCTGCAAACATGTGCACATTTTCCCTCATAAAAATAATGACAAAAAAAATGGCAAACAGCCTCAAATCAGAGTCAAGAAGACACCAGCCTGCCTCAGTATGATGCGATAGTTACTAATGCCGGATCACACAAATCTCCAATGTTTACCACTGAAAAGGTCAATCCCAGGGCTGGTGGTGCTGGCGGCAATAGGAGCTGAAATGGTTGCAGTGGTGGTGATGGTGTTGGATGAGGAGGTGAAGAGCGGTGAAGGGGAATGGGAAGGGGAGGGCTGGGGCACACCCGAGCTAAAACAGGCATCCAGGGAACTAGCCGGGTTATTGCTCTCCACTGACATCATGCCGAAAAGGTCTAGACCTGAAGACGCTGCGTTGGTGCTACCATCTGAGGGAGCAAAGGGGTCTTTTGGGAAGAAATGGGGGGTGTTGGGGGTAGGAAAGAAATGTAAAACATTGAGAGAAGGGGAATGTTAGACATTGACTTTGATACAAAAGAGAGCAGACATATGGCACTGAGCAAAGGTTTAGGTCAATTCTAGACATTAGATATCTGGTCCCCCGCAGAGGCCTGATCCCAATATCAATGCGTCAGTCTGTCTTTACACAAAAAGACAGTGAAAAGTGAGAGACAGGCTGACACAGAAAAACTGCAGCAAGTGCTTCAAGATGCTTTGAAAAATGTTCCTTTGAGAACTGGTGCTGCATCAAAGAAAAAGTGCAAGCACAACAATTACTGATTTGAGGGTGAACTTATGAAGCTACTCACTGCATTATTTTTCAACATTTTTGCACAATACTGTATGTTTTATGTAACGGTTAAAGGAGTACCGCAATAACCACAAGAAGGAGGTCAGAGAAATGGAAAACATCAGATGGGAATGATAGGAGGTGAAAATGTGCAGAGCTCCAACATACTCCTGCTGTCAGTCGTAACAGTTACAGCTATAAATAGCATCTGTGATGGGAGAGAAAATGACAAACAACTGGAGCGGATATTAAATCCTTTCACAGTCCATAACGTTAGGAACTTCAAATAAAACCAGGCAGTCTTCTCCATAACAGAAAGTCTAAAGTTTTCTTGTGATGACAAAAGACAAGCATGAATATTCTTGCTCTTGAACGCCACTAACAAGATTTCCCTTCCATACCCAAGCAGTAATGATGAATGAATCCATACTACCTGCACAAAGACGTGAGTTTAAACCCTCATTAACCTTTACACATTCACAACCACAGGCATCTACATCTTTCTCTGTAAAGTTATAACATTTTCTTCTTTCACAGTCATAATAAAAGAAATACAAAAACAACATAACAAGCAATATATTCCATTAAAGTCCTGTATTTTAACAACTCTTTGTTGTGCCCATGTTATCTCCATGTTCTGAGTTCAAACTACGGAAATGCACAGAAGTCGAAAGAATACCTAACTAGGAAAATAAAGTATGTAAGTAAAATATAGTAATTATTGATGAGAAACTCTGACTCACACAATTGCATTCTTCTACCGTGACACTATCGAGAGTGTGCTGGTGCACGCCATCCCTGTGTGGTACGCTGGTTGCACAACAGCTGACAAGAAGAGACTACAGAGGGTCATCAGAACTGCAGAGAAGGTGATCGGCTGTCCACTCCCCTCCCTGGACTTAATTGGCAGCTCAAGATGTCTCTCCAGAGCCAGGGCAATTATAAAGGACCACCTCCATCCTAGCCACCACCTCTTCAACATCCTGCCCTCTGGAAAAAGGCTCAGATCCATCAGGTGCAAAACCAACAGACTAAAGAACGCCTCTGTCAGTGCGCCCCAGGGTGGCTGTGGCTACAATGTAGCTTGCCATCACCAGTGTGTGAATGTGTGTGTGAATGGGTGGATGACAGGTTGTGTAAAGCGCTTTGGGGTCCTTAGGGACTAGAAAAGCGCTATACAAATACAGGCCATTTACCATTTACCATTCTTCCCGTGGGCTGTCAGAACTCTTAATGCAAACTAAGAGTGTGTAAAGACTTCCCCAAGACATCCACCCTGACACTGCTGTTGATCATCTATGTGCAATATCTCAGTCTTTCCATGTTCTGTGCAATATTTTTGGCTCATGTGCAATTATTTTGGTCCCAGTCTGTTTCAATGTTTCCTACACATACACCATGTATATAGTTCCACTCACATATGTATACATGTACACTGTTTTTATTTTATTTTATTCTATTTATTTAATTATTTATCTCTTTTCCGCCTTCGTTGTATATTGGTTTCTCTTCTTCTTACTTTATCACCTTTGTGGTTCAGCTACCCAATTTCGCTGTGCAAGAAACTGCACAATGACAAGAAAAAGCTCTAAGTCTCTAAGTCTAAGTCTCTAAATAAATATGCGCATTTTGAAAAGTTACAGGAGAAAATATAAAGCCACGATAGCGTGACTCAACGTACACAAACAAAAGCTAGCATTATTTTTTAATAGTTACACCTGTACCTTTTCTACTGTGAGTAGGTTTTTTATTACTCTGTGTAATAAAAAAAAACAAAAAAAAAACAACTTTGAAACAATTGGTTTTTATTTTAGATAGCTGTAGCTGTTGAAGCCAGCAAATCTCTAAAGCTAATTAAGCTAATATTAGCATCACAAATTAGCTCACAGCTTCTTTCCTGTTGAGGTTTTGAGTTTTTAGCTAACTTGCTTTGCTGTGTTGTTTGTATGTTTTCATGCAGAAAACATGTAAAGAAAGAATTGCTTAACTGCATGTTTTTTGTTGTTGTTGCTTTCTCATGTATGCCACTGGCTGACACACATACACACTCTCTCTCACACAGACAGATGTTGGTCACCCACCAGTTCCAGCGTTGGCAGCTGGGGTGGATGTAGCAGCAGCCCCACCTTCAGCTGCTCCTGCGGAGGCCTCAGTGGCAGGAGCAGGACTTGCGAAGGCTTCTGCAAAACCCCAGGAGAGGACAGAAACGCGGAGAGAGACAGATGAAGAAATAAGGATAAAAAAGAGAGAGTCAAAAAGCCAGAGGAAAACAAGACTATTAAGAAAAAAGAACATAAGATTAAAGCGTTTAAGTTGCAGAAGCATTTTTAAGCTGTTTTCAGCTTTTAGAAACAGCAGCGTACAGAACTGTTATGTGACATCAATGACTGACAGGTGAATGAGCAAATGGGAATACAGACAGGAGGCATTACAGCAAGGATTAATCTAGTGCACAAAGAGCCGAATAAGCCAGGACTCTACAAGTGTTACAGCTGCCATCTGTAGCTGTAGACATGTGACAGGGTTTGATAGAATTGCTTTTCAGAGATCAAAGAAAAGCATTACGGCCTATCAAACAGGACGCATGAGTGCAGCAGTGTATATACAAGCCAAAAGTGAACATGTGGTGAGTATGTGGAGAATATCTGTAGAAATATTAAGTCTAAATCTGATTGTACATTTTGTATGGATTAAAATAATGTGATTGCTTTCCCAAAAAAGCACATCACATAAAACTGCGTACCACCGATAAACGATTAAAACACAACTCATCACTAAACTGCTTGTTAGTCATTCTTATTATCATATTAGCTAGTTCATTCATTTAAATTCTATATTGAGATATTTTTCACATCAGAATTTCACTTTTAGTAATTTAAATAATGACACTTTTCATGACACTAAAGCATTGTTACTGCCCACATAGTTACACACTTTACCCAAGTAAATTTCTTCCAAGAAGGAGCAACCCTGAATGGTGACAAGATTTCATGTACCTCTCCAAATCTGATCAATTCCGCTCATAACATTTTGAAACAAAAGTTGTAATTGCAGTACTGTACTTAGCTGCGGTGTGCTGTGGAAATAACAGCTCATGGATAATTCGGACCACCCTGTGCACCACTTAGTGCACAGTACTTTTAGTAATAGACTGATTTTTTGTTTGTTGCTACATGATCAGACACAGGAAATCTTTTATACCACACGTTAGCCACTATACCACTCTCTGTAATACAGTAGATTATTATTATGTCACGGAGCACAGGAAAAGCAAGCCAACGGTCCAGAACTACAATCCTGGCTGTGCACAAATTCAGCCAAGCAATGAACTGATCAAGAACAACTGGCATGCAACATCTCTCAAAGCTATGCTAGAATGATAGTTTATTGAACAGGGTTTGATGCATCAACTGCAAATTAACAATGCCCTATTTTGCCCCCAAATCTTTATCTAGCAAACCTTTCAACTATGACGAGAAAAACCCCACTCAGCACAGCCACGCATGCCTGGGAGTGGAACCTAACCAGTCAGCCGGCTTTTTTGTCTTTGGCCTGTGGTGGTAACGCTGTCTGGATTTACAGTTTCTTGTAAATCTTGTAGAGTTTCTATCAGAAGAAACTTTGCAATCTTCACCTTGTAGTTAGACCCTTCATGTTCACCCAATATGTGTTCCTGTCACTAATGTGCACACTCTGTGAGCCCAAAGCAAGAGGCACACCTATTGAGTCTCCTCACTAAGAAACACTTTTAATAACCCTGCTGAAGTATAGACAGTGATAAGTTACAGATTAATCTTGTGAAATAAGTCAGCATTGCTGCAGGGTAGCTGATAGTTCCCCCAACTCTACCCTCACATGACAATGAATAGCGTCACAAGAAAACGAACATAGTAACCTCCAAAATGGCAAACCCTAGTTCACAAACCATCTTTTCTACACAACCTGCATGGAAGCATTTCTTTCTTTTCACCTTCTTTTAACGCTGAGTAATATCAATGCCGGCCAAAATTATGATCAGCATCTTGTTAATAAATTGATGTTTTTAGGGCATCAACGTCAAAAAGATGCTAACAGAGGCAGGGACTACTACACTGTCATGAACTGTGGCATTAGGAAATGAAAAGTGAAAATTCATGTGATAAGTTTTTCTAAACATTGAGTAGCATTGTAAGCTATTAAGTGTATATATTTTGACATGGTTAATCCATAATCAAATGTATTTAGTCTGTTTAAATATAACTAAATAATGCGGGGCTATAATTTTAAGGCAGTTGATAGGGATGTGCATCAATCCAGTACGCAGTGAAAGTTTTTGATGATACAACTTTGCTTGCAGTGGACAGACAACAACTGCCATAATTCAGCAAAGTTCTGTCTACATACTGTACGTGTTTGAGCATGCAGTCGTCTGTGTTATCATATCGTGTGATGGGTTTTACAGTTGAGCTTCCCAGAGTGATTCCTTCGTAGAGAATTTTCTGGAAGCCCACTGACCTCCCAACAGATCCACATTGGCGGCGCCAGGGGAGGTGGCAGCTGCTGTGCTAGTGGGAGGAGCTAGAGAGACTCCAGGTTCTGCTGCTGCAGGAGTGGGCGATGCCGCTGCAAGGGAGGGGGTGGGCTCAGCTGCGAGGGTGGGTTCAGATAGCAAGGAATCGCCCATTTCTTCCAGTACCATCAGGGGTGTTTGAAATCCCCATAGAAAGGAGGCAAAATAAACCACAAAAGAGGAACCAAAATAGCCAGTGGAGTCACCGTTGTGAGAGTGAAGAAAAAAAAAAGCCAAAAGAAAAGTCAATCCAAATAAAGCCCAATAAAGATCATTTAGAAGTGGCCAAAAAAAAGAAGAAGAAAAACCCGTATTTTTAAACAAATTAAAAGTCGCCAAATGATCCAGCATTGTCCAGTCATAACCAAGAAATAGATATTAAAAAGCAATCAACCAAAATAGCCCCCATTATAAACCAAAAACAGACAATGGAGTATGTGGAGGGAGGGGAGGGAGAAGGCAGAGAGAAACAAAGAGAGTACTCAGACTAAGAGAACAGCTTGAGGAGACAAACAGGGAAGTAACCATGTGACACTGCTGCAATGTTGTCTATTTTTATATTTTCTAAATAGAGAAACAATATATTGCCTCCAGGTTGCTTCAATTTCATATTACAGCAAGAAAACCAGGAAAATCAAGGCAACCTGGAGGAGGTTTTACGAATGGACTAGTCTGGACCAGATCCTACAGGTGAAGTAAAGAGGAGGAGTTGCACTCACCTGATCCAAGAAGATCTACGGAGGCAGAAAACAAAGAAACAGGGAGAAGATATGTCTTGTTCTGGGGATTTGATTTGATTCTCTAGTCAACTCCAATGAAAATAGACTGTTACGTGTTCACTAAAAGGACTAGATTACCTGTCGTTCTTTCTAACAATGACTGCGACAAAAACCATGTGCATGATACCAGCAGCTGTTCTAAAGGAAGGAGGGCCACTTACCTCCCCAAGATGTGGGGGCAGCTGATGGTGCTGAAGGGCCAGTAGAGGCCAGTGGATCCAGATCTAGCAATGAACTGGGAGATGATAAAGTTTTAACCACACTTTTCTGAGTGAAAATTTTCTGCTGCACATGATCAATAGTTTACTTGCACTTAATCAGCTGGGTGAGGTTAAAATAGCACTGTTGGAGTGACATTTTGTTACCTAGCACTAAAAAAAGTGGAGACAACATCGTGGGAAATGTCTTGCTTCTGAGATCATTTACCCATCATCCAAATTATACATGTGAACTAAATGAAATTATAAACTAAACTGGGCAAGCAGACACCAAAAAATCACAATTCGTGATTTCTGTCTGTCTGTTAAAATTCTGTCATTCCCAATCACTTCCACTTTGTTATAATACCACTAACAGCTGACTGTGGAATATTTCATAGAGAGGAAATTTCACACTGGACATGTTGCACGGGTGGCATCGTATCATGGTACCATGCTGGAATTGGATTGATCAATTCTGATGGGTGGTGATTACTTTTGGCAATACTGACAATACAGATACACTGTAAGTATATGGTATTTTATAGATGTTAACAAAATCCAATGTTTTTTGAAAGGTTGCATTGGCGGGGTATTTACTAGAAATAGGAACCTACTCTTCAGCCGGTTCAGGAGCAGCTGAAGCAGCAGCGCTGCCAGCACTGTCCCCAGGAGGAGGCTGCAATGTGGGAACAGCATTTGAAGATTTGGCTGGAGTTGACGTTGGAGACACATTGTTTGTAGGAGATCCCTGGAAAGTAGACAGACAAGCCCCCTTTCAGTGCTGATTCACAATATAAAAGGCTAAAGAAAAAAACAGACTACTTTAAATGTGCATCTTACCTTTGTTGGAGACCTGAAAGTGGAAGAACAAGAGGAGGTATAAGTGATGTGCTTAAAACAAACTGCTTGACAAAAGCTCAATTTTACAGATCATTTTAAACTCAATATCGGGGATTCAAACAAACATTTAAGATAGACTGCATCATATGTGATCATATGAAGAGTTAATTTCCAAAGTACCATAATATATAATCAAGTATGAAAACAAGAATAAAATCCAGCCCATAAGATTTGTTAAATCAGTCTGATTTTGCCAGCTTTTATTTCATTTTCAGTTTGACTTGGGAATGAAACCCTTCATATAGCGATTCACATTGCATATTAGCGTATGACAGTACACATGTGGTGACCTGCTGTTTACCAAAACATGTGTCTCCCAGAGGTCACGCATGTAATCACACCGACACACACATTTCCACGTGTGAACTATTCGATTGATCCAGTTCATAATTCACATGTGAATAATGTGCCCATTTATTACCTGGGGGAGGGTGGGGCGAGAGGTGGGACAGTAAATACATCTAAATAATTAGTAAACTGCAAACGAAACATAACACATATGCTCACCCTTCACTGGTGTTTCCAAATCAACGTAAAGGAGAGTAAAAGAGAGGAGGGGTTAAAGGAAACTGTAGAAATACAAAACCTGTTTCTACCAATATTTCTATTGGCTACTCGTGAAAACAAAAGCGGGAGATAGAAAGAGTTATCCTAATGTTTTTACTATGACGTTGCAAAGAAATGTTACGTCTTACCCCTTCTTTCCACCTTTTATATCCTCCAGGCCATTCATGTGGGTTTCCAGAGATTCTAGGATACTGCTGGGAGCCTGAGCAGAACAAAGAAATTTCAAACTGTAATCACAACTCCACACAAATCTTAAATCATCTCCTCAGATACATTCCAGCCGAGGTTTAATCACCAGAAACAAGAGTGAGAGAAAATCCCACCGCATTAGTCACATGCATGTGTCTATGCACACACAAACACAAGAGTGATTTGTGTGTTTTGTGTGACTTGTTTGTCAAATTAAAGAAAGGTCAACGTGCCAACACTTCATCCTGTAAACAGGCACTCAGCCAAAATAACCCCTTTGTTTCTGTGGTTACCGGTTCCTCGAGAGGTTTAAAGGGGCAGTCCTCGTCATCCGAGTCTGCTAGATCCACCACTACCCCTGGGTGGAGACACTGGGTGGGGAGATGGTGGTGGGTGAGACATGGGCTTCTGTGTATGCATGTGTGTGTGAGAGGAGATGGATGGTATTCATATGCATTATATATTCTTGATCCCATCGCTTGCAAAGTGGGATTAAAAAACCCTGAGAGCTGTGATATGTAACTTACATAGTTGATGTCGGGAATGTCATTTTTGTCAACTCCAACTGTCTGTTAAAGAAAATAAATATATATATATTTAAAAAACAATATTATCACACTGCACAGACTCAGTTTTTACAGTCACTATGTGAGTCAAAAGAAAAAGGACTGCTGAGGCTACCTCAGCCAGCTTCATGAATTCTCCAATCTTTGTCACCCTGGTCAGGAAACGCTTGTAGATCTCCAAGGCCTCCTTGCATTCACTCTTCTTCATTTTGAAGAATTTCTCTACACACAAAAACAAGAGGTTTGCTGACTGACAAACACCTTGTCCATCTTTTTTGATTATCATCGGTGAAATGAACAAAAAAAACCCTGCAATCTATTCACTTTAAGTGGACTACTAACCTAATAGGTTGATGATCCCATCATTGTAGGATGCAAACAGTTTCACCAAGTCCTTGAAGAGAAGCAGAAATGCAGCATTGATGATCCCATTGTTCAGCTCCTTGGGATGAACCTGAGAGGAGACAGGACAGAGATAAGTAGGGCTGTCTGAGGTTCTGTTCATCCAAATAAATAAAGAAGAAGAAAAAGAGCGAAAAAGTGTGCAAATCAAAGCAAAGACGCACATCAAACTCCAGGAGTGTGTCAATCTGTGTCTGCAGAACAGGCATGCCTTTCAGCAGCTTCTCAGTGGTCATGGTTCTCATCACTCCATCAGCGCTGAGGTAACACAACAGAGAGAGTATTTTACACAAAAGAAGAGCCACAGGTTTTAACCACACACTAAGTAAAAGCATGTAAAAGAAAATGCTAATGGCCAAACAAGTGTTGCTATGAGCAACTGCATGCACACCGTGTTTACCGTACCCTTTCTTGACTCTGGTGAAGTCAAATGCCATCTGGCGGTAAGCGAAGGCTTTCTCATTCAGGTATCGTCCATACCGCCTGATGAATGTAGACATGTCATAGCCTACACAAAATGAAATCAAAATTAAATGATTGTTGAACAAAAAGCTAATAGGCTTCTTGCTGTCTGCTCGTATTTGTTTCTTGATTATTTCTATTATTTGTCATTTGTTTCTCAACAGCTCACTTCATGCATTGATCTCTTTTTGTCCTAGTGGGAAAATATTTTTTAGAACCTGCAGTAAACAGTGTATCCCTAAAGCAGTCAATATAACAGGAAGCACAATTTCCCCGTGTGTAGCTGAGATAGTTTGGTCCATAATTTGCTGAACACACAATTTTGTAGCCTCTGTACATTACCACAGTGGTAATGTACCACATCAAACAAAAAATATTTTTATGTAGCCCCCATTTGCAGAGGCTAAAATGAATCTGCCAATTCAAGTGAGACCTGTCATCTTATTATTTCATGACAAATGAAGTCACAAGACACAATATTTGATATAATAAGGTTTCATAGCTTTTCACTGTAATTTTAAGAGCCCAAAGGGATGTCAGTGCAAGTGAGCGAGGTCGTCATTTGGCTAAAAATACACCTTTGTGAGGGCCAAATCAGTGATCTGGTACATTCTTAAAAGGAAAAAATGCATTGGCCAGTTAAGCAACTCTAAAAGGTCCGAAATACATCAGAAGACAACAAAATGCATGATGACAGCATTTTTTCCATAGTTAAGAAAAAGGACACTCTTAAGAAAGTAGACATATCATTATCAAGAGATGCATTCATGAATGGAAGATGGCTTATAACAAGGTGCAAATCACTGGTTTCACTCAAAAACAGAAAGGCCAGAATTAGATTTTCAGGACTGGATAATGACCCAAAATACAAAAGCAATGCAACAGTTTGTCGAGGAAAAAAATAAAATATTCTTCAAAGGATCACCTGATTTTTCAGTTATTGAATAAAACCGTACATGGAAAGACCCTGCAATAAAGGTGGCTGCAGTAAAGGCTTAGCAGCCACCTTGCAATGGAACAAATACAGCATTAGGTGATGTCCATGGGTTCTAAACTTCAGCAACCATAAACTGGGAAGGATTTCCATCCAAGTATTAAAAACAGTCCTTATATTTAAAATTATGTTAGTTTGTCCAATTCATTTTAAATCTCTGAAAATGGGGGAGCTGTGTATTTAAAGGGCTGTAATTCTTCAAGTCTGTACTTCACTTAGATTGTCTGGTTGTGTACAGAGATGAAACTACAAAAATTCTATCCTTGTCCAACAAATTATGGATCTCATTAGTTGACACCGATTAAGTCCAAGCGAAAGGTGGAGCAGGAAAGGAGGTGGTTTGAAAAGCGTGCAACAAATTAAACAACACCCTAGATTGAATGTATATATGGAAGGGTAGCGGCTGATCCATCAGCACTGAGATCGGCTGCTGGGATTGTAGCTGATATGTGATATTTGTTATTTTCCTGTTAGTTCCTATTTTTCCTAACTTTATGTAGGTTCTTCTCTAAAATCTGTAACCTAAGGAGCAAAGGATGAGAAAGTTCAGTAATGTGCGGTTATTATCAGATTATCCATTTACAAAGAACGACACACAACGACACAAAGGGAGGATATTACAGTTGATCAGACTGTCGTCTTACCATGAGATCCGGTTTTGTCAATAAAGTTGCTGAGGTTGAACAAGGATGTCCTGGATGCCAAGTACTGAATGAACCTCTGAGAAAGAGAAAGAAAACCCAGTGAACATTCCTGTAGAAGTCAAAGCTGAAAACTACAGCCAACAACACAGCATTGACATCTTTAGTAAGGGTTTTCTTTGTTGTGCTTTTCAAGCTTTTATTCCATTATTTAATAGCTTTTACAGGAGTAATGCACAGTGGACCCATTCCACTAACTTGTGGTCAAAGCCTCTATTTATTTGTGAAACATCAGGCTTCCTGCAAATGCCTTGAAAGACCAATTTCAGCTCTCTAAAGTGGTAACTTCACACCACACCAGACATTTATTATTTATTTCAAAGGGGTGGCTGTTTTTGTCAGCAATTAGAAAAAAAACTTTACTATATTAAAGTATACTATAATATATACTATTCAGCATTTCTATTGATCTTTTATCCTGATTAGAAGAGATTCAAGCTTAAACCAAACTGCTTCACATGTTAAATGGTCTATTTACTGTTCACTAACCTCATTGCCATAGACACACATGTGGTGTGTGGTGACGAGGGCCTTGAAGACGACCACCCAGCTGGCGTTGGTGGATCGCTCAAACAGTGTGTCAGCCATCTGAGGGATGTTCACGTTGGTGGTATTGGTGGCTGACACCAGGTCTGCAACACAGCAACAAAGAGTTCTACTCATCTGTCAAAGGTTCTCTCACAGAGTGCTTTAACCTTGTGGTAACTTTAAACAGCTTATTGTCGTCTTCTTCTTCTTCTTTTAACTACAGTGGATTGCCTGTCTCCATCTCACCCCATCACTTACATCCGCTTCTGTCATGCAAAGAATCTGCATGCTTTCCTTTACTACATCTAAGGGTCTTCTCTGTGGTATTCTTCTTTTCCTCCTGACTGACAGCTCCATATTCAACAGCATGCCTCCACCTCTCTAGGCTCTCTGCTTTGATGAAAACCAACCCCACCTTCAATCGATCTGTCACTTCTACCTTACACCTCACTACTGTCTCACTGTCCTCATACATGTCCTGCACCACCCTCACATGCTTCTCTGTCATGCCTGACTTCCTCATACAGTACCCCATCATGTGCTTTCTCTAGATCTACAAAAACACACTGCAACTCCTTATGATCTTCTCCATTCAAACCAAATATCACGTCTGTAGTGCTCTTTCTCTGGATGAAGCCATGCTGCTGCCCACTGGTCATCACCTCTCTTCTTGATCTAGCTTTAACAACTCTTTCCCATAGCCTCATGTTATGGCTCATTAGTTTTATTACTCTGTAGTTACTACAGCTCTGCACATCACCGTGTTCTTGAAAATTGGTTCCTGTAGACTTCATCTCCTTTCCTCAGGCTTCATCTCACTCTCCAGGATTGTATTAAACATTCTGGTCAAACAGTCCACTGCCATTGCTCCTAGACATCTGCATACTTCTGCAGCAATGTCTCAAAGACCAAACACCTTTCTAATCTTTATTCTCTTCATAGCTGCCCCCCACTTCCTTTTTACTAATCCTCTGTACTTCCTGATTCACTAACTTTCCTACACCCTTCATTAAATAGCTTATTATATGCTATTAAAAGGGAAGTGAACTTATTCTTAGACACACGATGCAAGATTTTCTGCCCTGATTTAACTGCTCTGATTAAATTTTGATTAAGTGAGGAGGCAAAGTGCTCACTGCAGAGCTGCACCAGACAGTTATGAAAATATTGAGGCAGGAGAAATACCTGATGCACATACCAAATGTTGGTGCAAGAACCCAGCCACCCACCCACACACACACACACACACACACACACACACACACACACACACACACACACACACACACACAGACTCACATAAGGGGGGACACACGCTGACAATGCAGAGAGAGAAAGAGAGAGAATTATGCTTTGTCATCTCTCCCTGGCTGCCAGTTCAGATACTCAGACAGAGAAGTCTCCAGAAATAAAGAGTCCTGACTATTGCATCAGTAAAAAATATAACAGAAGGTACAACGTACTTTGACAGTAATGATACAGATAAGATGAACCTAGGCGTAACCCAAATACCGAATCTTTTGGTTTTTCTGTTTTGAGAAAAACCAAAAGATTCGGGTTTTGAAAAGGTTGGACTCATGTGATTTCTCAATCTATTTCAGACTCATGTTCTTCTTGTGAACACTCAAGATTTTCATTCTCTATATCTAACATACCACGGCTGATAGCAAAAGAAAACTGAGTTTTTGTATTGAAAATGTAAAAAAATAAATAAATAAAATCTAATAAGCAGAAATAAAGATAGAGACACTAAAGACACATGAATGGTCCATGGCTTGAAACTAATAAAGCTATAATCACTAATATTTTAGTATTTAGTATTTATTTATTTATTGTCATTGTCAAGAACAATGAAATTGCGTTTGGGGCTTCCATACAACCCAAAAAAAGAAGAAAATAATAAATACCCCTTAAAACCCAAGTGTACATATTTAACCCAGTGTGACTCCAATGCAATAAGACAATCCTTAGCAATAATGTTCGTAGAAATTCAGACAAAGACCTGAGAAACATGACAAAATACAACAATGCAACCCATTCAATATTATTGTACTGTGAGATATGATATCAGATATGATAGTTATCTATTTAAGAAAGAGGGGGGGGGGGGGGGGCAGGAGGGGGAAGAGAATAAAGCTATAATCACTAATCATGCATTACACCTACAGAAGCTACGGCTCAATCATGGACACTTATGATGTGAAGCTCCCAGTGCACCCTTTTTGTGCTGATGTTAATGTCCGTGGGCGCTGGTGACTTTTTCACACTATGCACCTCAGCACTCAAGCACCCCAATGTGTGACTTTATGTGTTCTCGACTGACCGAGTTACTGTGCTTCCACTTTGCATTAATGCCACTTACAGTTGATTGTAAAATATCTAGGTGGGAAGAAATTTCACAAACTGACTTTCTGTAATGCTTAAGTGAGCTCTTTAGAATGACCCATTTTTTCAGAAATGTTTATAGACTGCATGGCTAAGTACTCAGTACTTGATTTTATATACTTGAATGAAAGCCCTAAATTCAAAGATTAAGAGGTGTGGGCCAATACTTTTGTCCATATACTGTGCATCAGCATTGCTCACAAGCTTAAAATAATGGTATGATGACATGAACTGTGAACGGTTCTGCATCAGCCATGCCTATCTGCAATGAATAATGAACAGTTTGTTTATTCTTTTTTCCTTTGTTCATGCTTTGATTGAGTTTGGCATCAGTTTGTTTTCTTTCCAATAAAGAAAGGATATGGCATGCGGCTGAAAAGTAGGCACAAAAAGTTTAGTTGAAACAGAAGAAGTAACACTTTGAGAGGGCACTGACAGACATTTATGAAGTGTAAATAAAGAAATGTATCCATTGGTAGATTTTGTATATGTTGTGCTCACTGTGGCAGTAGAACAGATGAACATTTCGTTTTATATGTTCTTGCTCGCTTAAACATAGCATAGTGTAGCTGTACATTGTTTTGTGTCCTGCTGACATTGGCATCTGAACAACAAGGACACAACTGAGTGCATCCATACAGAAAGAAATGCAGCAAATATTGGCAGACATCTGTGATAATGGAGGGAGTGGAAGGCCATTCTATTCAATAGACCTTGAGCTTGTTTCAAATAGGTAGAGAGCAAACTATAAATTAAACCAGACCACAAGTCTGCAAGGTGATGAGAAAAGGGATGACAAGAAGGAAGAGAACAGTAGGGAGTCAGATGAGTGTGCAATAAAAGAAGCGATATACGAGTTTGAGCAATGAAGCTGCTCAGGGTCCAGACAACAGGCTGGTTGGGGGGTTGGGGGTTTTAATGCTTGGGGTGCTGTAAACAGATTATTACTAATCACTGATCCTGTTCTTTTCTGTTGTGGTTGGTTGCTACACCTCACACACCCTGTTCTACACACTGCTCATCACCTAACACGTCTTCATTATCAGCTTTTTGTCTGTGGCGTTGTAGGATGTTTCACTGATAATCTGATGGAACTGATGATCTTAGCACAAAACGAACCGGACAAAATGAAAATAAACAGCAGGTGGATGTGCTCCATGAATGTGTTTTAGCTGGTTCACAGTGATGATCACAGCTCTTCCTTTGATCTTTGTTGAACTAATTACACCCCAGTCCATCTGTACAGCTTCACCAGATGGTAACAGCGACACTTCAGCTGCTCCAAAGATGTCTGATGTTTTTAATGAAGGTTGGGGTGACATCAGTCCTTCCACTGTACATGTTTAGATATGATTTAGTCTCCATTTTCCCACTTTAGTGTCATTTAGTCTATGTTAAAGAAAATCTTCTCTCATTTTTTATCATTTCAACCAATCATCCCCTTCCTTATTTGAATATACTCTATGTTTTGTTAAAGATTGTCCTGAAGCTTTTTCAAACACACACAAACAGAGTCAGGATCCACAATGGCTGAGATTAGATTATATAACATTATCATGTCACTGGCACAGCTACAAGTTTAGATTTCTATTAGCAGCATGAGCACAGCACTAACCAAGAGCCATTTTCTCAGATGTCCAGCTCATAATAAATATCAATTTACATACATAATCTCATCCGTTTATGGATGTTAGCTATGTTGCCATATTAGCCATATCACGGGTTGTAATCCATGCTGCCGTGTTGTGGTACCATAACCCGAAACAAACACACACTGACATACAACTGGTGTGCCTATGTGTGCATAATGAGGATTGGCTGAGCTAAATAAAGACTCTTACGGTAATCCACGAGTTCTAAGAATGAACTGCGAGGCCTCACACTGTGTATTTTCTCTGCACCACAGTGTCTCAGTGTGCGTTTTCTACCCTACATCTTAGTCTGAGGAATGAATTTTACAGTTACACAACAAAATCGTGCACCAGCCCGAATATTCTAGATAATGGTAAGCAGAACACATCTGCTTACTGTGCTAGATGTGTAGATTTATAATGCTATCAATAATACTTTAGGCGGTTGTTCATTGGAAATATATAGCACATAAATTTCAGACCTAGCATATACAGCTAGCTAAACATTACAATTTCTATGGTAAATAAAAGTTAAATAAGGAGCTTTTAATGTGACCAGTATCTCATATGGGACCTCACTGCACCACTTAGCAGAATGTTTTAATCAGCTAACATTTTGGGAAACATCTAACTTGCTAACAGAAGGTACCATGGATTCCCGACCTGACCGAGTCCTTTTTTCTCTTTTTTTGTTGTTATTGTATTTCTTGTTCTTGTTTTTTTTATTGAGGACTGTACTACTCCACAATGAAGCTCAGAATTTTATGGACAATCGTGTTTTTTATCACATTTTTTACGGCATCTGTGTCCGGAGAGCGCGTGGAGGTCCGACCGCCAATTGTTTATAGCAGGGATCAGGTGTTAGCCCTTGGGGCCTCTGCTTTTCTGCCTACCGCCAAGCGAGCCAACATCCCCCAATAGGTGAGGAGGAAGAGACGCGGCACTCGGGCCGGGATTGGGCGTCGCAGTAAGGTTAGGAGGTACCGGCCAGCGATTCCATCTGTTATTATGGGGAACGTGAGATCGCTCCCCAAAAAAATGGATGAACTGGCGGCTCTAACCCGACATTAGAGGAGCTACAGGGAATG